TGATAGATTCCGTTGATAAGAAAATTTCGAGGGCGAAATTTCTTTCAGGGGGAGAGAGTGTGAGAACCCGTAACTTTTTCCATTTTCTAGGTTTTATTATCTTTCTAGGTTTTCTTATCCTCAATGGCTTGTTTTCTGCATTTTCGTGAGTAGGAAAAATTTCTAGATATTTTTAAGGAGCAGATATAGTTTTTAAATGATTTTTCTAGTATCAAATAGGTTTTGAGAAATTAAGAGCGTATACTGGACGTGGGACCCACTAGTGCGAAAAGTTCGGCAAAAATTCGGCCAACTAGGTTAAGTTTTGGATACTGAAATTAATTTATCGGGTGTTAAGGGATAAGTAGAGGATGATAAGTGGATTGGTATAAGAGAGACAAGTTAGGTAAGCATTTAATAAAGGTGACAAGTGTCACCATTTGAGTGGGTTTACTTTATGAAAACTATTCATGGTCTTACCATTTGACTTAAATAAACCAAAAATTACCAAAAATCATCAAAAATCCTGCATATTGTGGCCGGCTCTCTCTTTCTCTCTCTCTTACTCTAAGCACAAGGAAGAAAACTCTTCAAGCTTGCTCCAAATCATCAAAACCAACCATTGAAACTTGCAATTTCTCCATAAAACCTCTTCAATTAGTGTTTGTGAGTTGTTGTGTGAAGTTATTCGGAAAGTTAAGGTGACCAATTGCTCTCTCTCTCTTGTTTTTAAGGTGAGTTGTGAAGAACCACCCTCCTCCCTTAATTGATGCTTAAATCATGCTTAGTGGTAGTATGAGATGCAATATTATGGATTATTTCTTGATTTGTGGTTGAAGTGATGAAGTTTTATTATTTTTGGGGATTTTTCTGTTTTAATATAAGCATGATTGTGTGGCTATCTATGATTATTGGAAATGGTATATAATGACTCTTGAAGGTGGAAAAAGTGGGTAATTACAACCAATTTCTGTTTGGAAGAAAAATTGACAAGTTAGGGTTTTTATGAATAACATTCTGCCCGAATTTATAGCTCCTAGTTAGAGGACGAATTGGCCTTGGCTTAAAACATGAAAGTTGTAGGTAATGACATTTTAGAGGTACCTACAAAATTTCAGGTCAATCGGAGTAGCGTAGAGAGAGAAAAGTCGAAATTACCCTTGATGTCCTGGTTTTACCCGAATGTAAGAATTGCGCCTGTAATTGGTTGTTTTGGCTGGAATTGCTTCGGAATTGGTTGTTGAGGCCTTCTGATGAAATGTATCCCTGTTTCTGAGCTTTCAGCTGGTTTTGGAATTTCTGGATTTGGACTTGGATAGCCTGATTTATGATGTTTCCGCTAGAATGCGTTCTGTGAATCTATTTTTGTGATTCTGGTATAGTATCTTGCATTTTTTACCTGGTTACACTCGAAACTGGGTTGAGTGACCTTCTGTAATATTGTAGTCCTATCTCTTAGCTTCGAAAATATGGGTCTTGCACCTTCATCCGATAATCGTAGTGCCTTTGGCACCATTACCACAAAATGAGGACAAAAACTGTTTTTTTCAGGGCCAAAGCTAAATCATTTCGGGATTTTTCTGGTTTCCTCTATTGTTTGTGTATGCTTAGGGAACCCTGTTTTGGTAGTATGTAGAATTGGTATATGACTTGTAATCGAGTCTTATTGTGTTTATTTGAATAGTTTAGGGCTTGACTTTCATATCCGGTTATTTCCTAGCTAAATTTTGTACTTGAATGCCATTAAGCCTAGTGAACGGCTTTTGGGAATGAGATTAATTTTGTACGAGATGTTGGGACTGATTTGAGGAAATAATGAAGCCTTGATGGCTGGAAAATAGGTAAACACAAGGGATATGCTGCCAAAATTTTACTTGAAGGCTAGTTGGATTTACTTGTGATTTGAGCGAAGGGCTTTTGGGTTGTTTGAGCCTAGGTCTTCATGTTACCTTTTCGTTTCCAAAAAAATCATGTTTTGCACCCTTGCTTTAGTAACTATTTGGCGAGGCATACGACTGGTCGTCGAGCCTCACATGTGCATTCTGTATACTTGATTTTTGAAAGTGGAACCTTCAATTGTTTTCCTTGGATTATTTTAGGGTTTCTTGGTGATTAAAGCTCTCTTTTGGGAGATATCTGTACTGACCCCGGTGAGTGTTCCACTACCTGCTACCCGTTATGTGAAATATCTGAATATCTGAATACTTGATTTATGACTGTTGGAGCCAAATACTGTTTTGATAAAAGGGAGGCGAGGGTGTACTTTATCACACTCGTTCTCTGGTCTGTTCATATGCCAATTTTGAACGCGTATCTGAATCTGCTATCTGTATCTGTATCTGTATCTGTTAGCTGTATCTGGATCTGTATCTGTTCTGACGTCGTTTGGAAGCTTGTGTCCAACGACCTTTCTGTGACCTCTGAGCTCAACACCTGTGGCCAGTTACTCGAGTCGGGCCGGCAAGGGCCTGGTCGATTAGATAACGAACCACGGTAGTCTGTTTTGGGATCTTTGGGTATTGAGACCCTTGATTCCGGGTATACTCGAGTATTACCAATTCTGATCTGATTGGATTTCGGGCCCGGTGGGGTATGTGAGGTGGAAGGAGTCGAAGAAAGTGGAGTCTACGGTGTTGGTTACTCCTTTAGCGTTGACGGAGTGTCAACTATTGTTTCGATCAAGCTTCGATGACGCAAATGGGAATTTGGCTCCTGAGAGCCACCTGTATCCTTCTGATTTGAATCATTGGTTCCTTTACTTTACATCTGGCATGTGTACTTGATTTGTTAAATGTAAAATGCCATGATTTTACTGCTATATGTCTGGTACCTCATTGAGCGCAAGCTCACCCCTTTCTGTTCCTTTTTGTTTTCCTTACAGGAAAATAAATACTTTTGGACTGGATTTGACAATTGGTTGTCGAATTGAGCTAGTTGAACATATCTTTGGTATAGCTCATTGATTGAAAACCCTAAATGTATTTTTGGATCCGTTTCTCTTTTGAATTTGGCAAACCGTACATGTATCCACTTTTGAATCACTTTGGTATGCCACTTTGGATTGTATCTGCTAAATTTCAACATGTAAATATTTGCTTGATGTTTGGTTGGGTTTTGACATGTCAGTTACTATTCATGAACGACTCCGGTTTCATTTTTTTTTATTTTGACATTTTGACTTGGTTACGCGCGTTTGTATGTTCCGGAACGTATGAGATCGCTCCAAACTGAACCGTTAGTCCTGGCGAGAGCTGGGCAGGCAGTCCGCTAACCCCTTTGGTTCGCCTTAGGGGAAGGTGGGGCTGTCACAATAATTGCATCAATGATTAGTTGCATGAACCATCTCTGAAGTGTATCCTTGGCTAGAGTTTTCTTATTATCTCTCTCTCTTAATTATTTTTCGCAGTCGATTAGTTTAGTTAATAATTCATTAGCTTTTAATTCTCAAAACCCCCGTTTATCCCTGACTTGAAAATGAGCAAAATTTTCCCAATCCCTGAGGATACGACCCTACTTGCCCTATATACAAATTAACAAGTTCTCGTAAATAACTTCTGGTATATCGGATCTAGCAAACTCTTCAGAGTTAGGGTGAATCTAGTAACCCATTCCACATCCAGAGTTCCTGCTCCAATATTAGAATTGACACGGAACTGCTTCTGTTGGCAATTAGGATTAATATTATTATTATTGCACAGGCTCTATAACTGTCAATTTTTGGCGCTGTTGCCGGGTACTGATACCTAAATTATTTTTTCTTTTTGAGTTCATTTTATTTTTGCTATTTTTGCTAGTTTATGTCTCGTTCTTCCTGCACAGGTGAATTGATATACGACCTTGAAGTTGAGAAAACGGCACGTAGGCAAAGACAAGAGACCAAGAAACACAAGGAAGGACAGTCATCTCCTGCAAGCGATTCAGAACAAGAAGAGTATATGATGGCAAATAACAGGACACTAAGGGAGTTGGTTGCCTCTGACTTAACTCAGTAGCCACTTTGCATTACCTTCCCTAATGTAAATGAAAATACCTCTTTTGAGTTAAAATCTGAATTAATTCACCTCTTAGCTTTTTTTCATGGTCTTTCAGGTGAAGAACCCCATAAGCATCTACAAGAATTTGAAATAGCATGTTCAAGTATGAAACCTCTCAGGGTAACTGAAAAGCAAATTAAACTGAGAGCATTTCCTTTCTCTCTCAAGGACTCAGCCAAGGATTGGTTGTACTACCTGCCGGCAGGTAGTATTACCACCTGGATGCAATTGAAGATAAAGTTTTTGGAGAAATACTTTCCTGCCTCCCGAGCTGCTTGGTTGAGAAAAGAGATATGTGGCATTAAGCAGCTGCCAGGGAAGACGTTATACGAGTATTAGGAGCAGTTCATCAAATTGTACACCAGATGTCCCCAGCATCATATAAGTGATCAATCGTTAATTCAGTATTTTTATAAGGGTCTTACTTGGTCTGATAGGAACATCATTGAGGAAATGGCAAGTGGTGGAGCACTAGTTAATAAAACCCCTGGAGAGGCGTGGGAGTTGATTGAGGAAATGGCGCAGAACTCACAACAATTTAGCCCCAGAGATAATGTCCCCACTCATCAAGTGAATGAGGTGGAAAGTTCGTCTGTTCAGCAGCAGTTGTCGGAACTGACTTCAATTGTCCACCAATTGGCTGTAGGAAATATACAACAAGTTATAAGGTTTATGGGATCTATATCAACACGGGACATGCTACTGATATGTGCCCAATACTTCAAAAGGAGAGCCCTGAACAAGTCAACATGGCTGGCAACGTACCTGCGCCAAGGAGGCAATATGATCCATACTCCAACACCTACAACCCGGGTTGGAAGAATCATACGAACTTTAGCTACGGAGGGAACCGCTAGCAAAATTTTGGTCCAAATAGACTGCCAGGGTTCCAGCCCCAATATTAGCCAAAGGCCTATCCCTCATCCTCTAATGGAGGAAGCTCCTTGGAAGAGTTAGTCAAGAGTTTGGCCGAAAGTACCACCCAACTCAAACAAAGTACTGCTCAATTCCAACAGAAGACAAGGTCTGGCATGAAAAATCTGGAACAACAGATAAGCCACATGGCAACTACAATCAACTGTCCAGAGTCTCACTCTTTTAGAAAATTACCATATCAACCCAAAGCAAATCCAAAGAACGTAAGTATCATGACCTTGAGAAGCGGTAAAGAAGTTGAAGGGCCCCGGCCAGTAGTCTCTAAAGATAAGAGTGAGGAGCAAATAGAAAGAAGCTTGAGGAAAAAGGAGGGGGACATTCAAATCCCAAGGTAATCTCTGACTCTCTTATGAATCATAACTCTAACACTCCACCTTTTCCTAGCAGGTTGGAGAAGCCAAGAAAGCAAGAGAAGGAAAAAGAGATCTTAGAGGTGTTTCACGTGACAGTCCCACCTTCCCCTAGGGCGTACCCTAAGGGTTAGCGTACTGTCTGTCCAACTTACGCCAGGACTACTAAGCTGAACACACAGTGGTCAAATCCTATGATGCAATCGTACGTCGAATATACGCTTCCACGAACACGAAACGATTCCAATAAAGTATAATGAAACTTTATATAACATTACAAAATGTACAATACCAACCAAACATACCATATAGACATGATTAAACACTTTTATATACACACGTTGGTATGATTACAAATCAAAAAGGAAACATTGGAATGAAGTACATTTAGGGTTTCCAACTACCGAGGAGCTATACAAAGAATAAAAGAATATCTAACAAGCTCAACTCGTTTCTCAAAATCATGGTTCCAAAGGTTGTTCCTGTAAGAAAAACAAAGATAACGAGGGTGAGCTTATGCCCAATGAGGTACCAACAAGTCACACGTCTAAGACTCACAAGTATATTCATACTCAGTTATACATGGCCATTAAACACAGAAGAAAGTACCCCACAATGAAACCAGAAGTAAAAGGATACAGTCGGCTCTCAAGAGCCAATTCCCCATTTGCAGTACTTGATCTCAACTCGTTGACACTCCGTCAACGTTTGAAGACACGAACAAGACCGTAGATCCCACTTTACACCAAACCTTCCACCAAACATTCCCTTTACCGGGCCCGAACACCTCACAAAAACAGAGAGGGTAATACTCGAGTATACCACAAAGTCGAGAAGATAACACTACATACGACTAACAGTAAACCCATGGTTCATTATCTAATCGAACAGGCCCTTGCCAGCTCGACCCGATTAACGACCAATGAGGTTTGAGCTCAGATATCACAGTAAAGTCGTTGGACTCAGCCCCAAACGACATCAAACCATGCACAGGTAACGAATTCACAGTTATACAGTATATAGTCATACAGATAAGAGAACGAGAATGATAAAGAACATTCTCGTCTCGTGCACAAAGTTCACAGTCATTCAGTCCAAAGATTCAAGTACAAACAACCATTAAAGCATTAAATCATACAATGGTACACTCACCAATTCAAACAAAGCAAGTTCACAAGTTTCCGTCCAACGTATGCCTTGGATCACCGGCACGCCCTATAACAATCAAGAAAACACAATTGAGACTCGAACACGAGTCGAATACCTCTTAAATGAACTATTAAGGCAAAACCAAATATAGCTTGGAATGGAAAATACATAACATTTAAGGCTAAAAGTATAAACAAACCCCAAAGCCTTTCATTTATACCTAAACTCAAAGGAACCCAATATCTTCAACATTTGGACAGCATTTCCCCTTAAATTTCATATTTTCCATCATACAAACAACCATTTAAATTCATCCAAAACAACCACAAGTACACATACAAATCATAGGCTATTCAGCACACCTCATTAGGGTTACAATACCCTTCAATCTTAGCCAAATAAGAGCTTAACAACCAACCATAGTAAAGCCCTAATTAGAAGCCCTAAAACTGAAATTTTTCGCACAAGCTGAAATTTTCCGCAAATAACCACAACCAACACACAAAAACTCCATTTTACACAATATAAAACTATCATTCCATGGCCAACCATAATCATCATATGAAAACAGAAAAATCACCAATAAAATCTAAAATTTATCTAACTCCACTTTAATCCATGAAATCTTCCATAAAACAACATATTTAGCCACTACAAGTCACTAATTTACCATTATTACAACCAAAGAAGGAGTTTCTAAGTAAAGTACCTTGAAACATCAAGAAAGGTAGTAGCTTAGGGTTTCCTCTTCCAAAACAACTCCACCAATACCTCTAACCCTCCTTTGCAAGTGACTTTTATGGAGGAATTCGCAAATTAATCGGTTGAAACTCAAGATTTGGACAAGAAATTGAAGTTACAAGATGAAGTCCTCTCTCTTTTCTTCTCTCAAAGGGCTCGGCCAAAAGGAGATAAAAATGAAGAAAGCTTAGGTCAAAATTGATGTTTTAGTAAAGGTAAAAAAATGTGGTCAAAGTCCAATTTCGAATAGTAATGCGACACGTGGCACCTTTTATGTTTAAACCTATCTTCTTGCCTCCCCATGGTTAATCCATCTAGGTAACCTCTAATTATTTCCTAACACCTAGTAACTTAATCCCTTTATGCTAAACTTAACCTAATTGGTCGAATTAATAGCACTTAACGCACTAGCGAGTCCCACATCCAATATACACTCCTAATATCTCATGAATTAACTTATACTAGAAAAATGATTTAACAACTATATTTACTTATAAAAATATCTATAAAATTAATATAGAAAATATAGAAAACATGTGCAAAGAAATAAAATAATGCCTAGAAATAAAGAAAATTTTCGGATTCTCACACTCTCTCCCCCTTAAAGAATTTCGTCCTCAAAATTGCTCACCTGGGTTAATAAACAGTTCAGGGTATCTCTTTTGCATCTCTTCCTCCACCTTCCAAGTTGCCTCTTCTATTCCATGATTTCTCCACAAAATCTTCACTAATGGGATTTGTTTGTTTCTCAACTCCTTAACCTTTCGGTCGAGTAATTGCACAGGTTTCTCCTCGTAGGTGAGTGCTTCATCTATCTCAATCTCCTCCGGTTGTAAAATATGGGTTGGATCAGGATAATACTTTTTGAGCATCGACACATGGAAGACGTCATGAACTCTGGACAAACTTGATGGTAGCTCGAGTCGGTACACTACTTTTCCAACTCTTTGAAGAATTTTGAAGGGTCCAACGAACCTTGGTTGAAGTTTCTTTTTTCTATCCGCCATTACAATTCGTAACGGTTTGATCTTAAGAAAGACACGGTCTCCAACTTCGAACTCTAAATCTTACCTTCGGTTGTCCGCGTAGCTCTTTTGTCGACTTTGAACTGTTTAGAGTCTTTGACGTATCAACTTAAACTTTTCTTGTGCATCCTCCATCCATGGAATGGTTGTCAGATCTAAAACTTTCTTTTCCCCTACTTCATCCCAATCAATCGGTGATCGGCACTTTCGTCCGTAGAGAGTCTCATATGGTGCCATTTGAATTGAAGAATGGTAGCTATTGTTATAGACAAACTCTACTAACGTCATATGTTAGCCCCAACTACCCCTAAAATCTAAGATGCAAGTCCGTAACATATCCTCGAGGGTTTGAATAGTTCACTCAGACTGTCCATCCGTCTGGGGGTGATAGGTGGTACTAAGGTTGAGTTTGGTTCCCAAGGTCTCTTGAAATTTTTGCCAAAACCGAGACACGAAACGAGGATCTCTATCTGAAACTATACTCACTGGGACCCCATGTAATCTCACAATTTCATCCATATACTACCGAGCTAATTTCTCCATGGAATATTTCATGTTCACAGGTAAGAAATGGGCCGATTTGGTTAACCGATCTACGATTACCCAAACGGCATCATGTCCTTTTTGCGTCCTTGGCAACCCAGAGACAAAGTCCATCGTGATGTTTTCCCACTTCCATTCAGGTATCTCAAGAGGTTGCAACAACCCAGAGGGTGTTTGGTGTTCAGCCTTAACTTGCTGGCAGACAAGACAGGTTTGCACATAGCAGGCGATTTCCCTCTTCATATTATCCCACCAATACAACCTTCGTATATCTTGATACATCTTATTACTACCCGGATGGATCGTATATTTCGATCGATGGGCTTCCTCCAAAATCTCTTTTTTCAATGTTTCATCCTTAGGCACCACTACTCGATTCCGATACTTCAAAATTCCTTCAGGACTCAAATTGAAATCAGGCATGTCCCCCTTCTCCACCTTTTCCCTCCACTTTTGTACAATCGGATCCTTCTCCTGGGTCTCTTTAATTCGACCTAGTATAGTAGATGTTACCCGGATATTTCCAAAAGTCACCTTTTGACGATCCAAACTAGGGTTCCACTCACTAACTGCTCCTAACATCTCCCACTCTTTGACCATTAACCCGGCTATTTGAGCCTTCCGACTTAAAGCATCAGCTACTACATTCGCCTTTCCCGGATGGTAGTTAATCGTGCAGTCGTAATCTTCAAAAAATTCCATCCACCGTCGTTGTCTCATATTCAGTTCCTTTGGAAAAATAGGTACTTAAGGCTCTTATGGTCAGAATAAACCTCAAAGGTTACCCCGTACAGATAATGTCTCCACTTTTTCAGGGCAAAGACCACGGCTGCTAACTCCAAGTCATGGGTGGATAATTTTGTTCGTAAGATTTCAATTTCCTAGAGGCAAAAGAAATCACATTCTTGTTTTGCATAAGCATGCACCCCAAACCTTCTCTCAAGGTATCAGTATATACGGTGAAACTATCCGTACCTTTAGGAAAAGCTTGAATAAGGGCCATGGTTAACCTTCGCTTCAATTCTTGAAAACTAACTTCACACCTAGCGTCCCACAGAAAACGACCATTCTTTTTCGTCAAATTGGTTAAAGAACCGGCAAGTTTTGAGACATCCTTAATAAACCGACGATAATAACCTGCCACCCTAGAAAACTTCGAATCTCGGTGGGATTTTCAGGCCTTTTTCACTCAGTCACGGCCTCTACTTTCGCCGAGTCTACAGTGATACCCTCTTTTGAAATCACATGCCTCAAGAAAGAGATTTTCTCCAGCCAAAATTCATACTTACTAAATTTGGCATATAGCTGGTGATCTCTTAGGGTTTGTAAGACTAACTTCAAGTGCTGCTCATATTCCTCTCGAATTTTTGAATAAACCAAAATGTCATCAATAAACACCACAACAAATCGGTCCAAGTAGGGTTTAAAAACCCTATGCATCAAATCCATAAAGGCGGCAGGGGTATTGGTTAACCCAAAGGGCATGTCCGCGAACTCAAAATGCCCATATCTAGAATTGAAGGCAGTCTTTGGTACATCCTCTTCTCTGATTAATAACTGATAGTATCCCTGCCGGAGGTCTAACTTCAAAAATACCACTACTCCTTGCAGTTGGTCAAACAATTCATCGATATGGGGCAGTGGGTATTTATTCTTAATAGTCACTTTGTTCAACCCCTGATAATCTATACACAGTCTCAAGCTCCCATCCTTCTTCTTAACGAATAGTACAGGGGCTCCCCATGGATATCCGCTCTCTCGGATAAACCCTCGCTCCAACAGGTCTTGCAACTGCAACTTTAACTCCTTAAGTTCAGCAGGTGCCATCCGATATAGGGTCTTAGAGATAGGTGACGTCCCCCGTAACAAGTCAATCTTGAACTCTATCTCCCTCTCCGGTGGTAAGGTCACTAATTCATCAGGGAACACATCCGGATATTCATTCACTACTAGTACATCTTCTACCCTCAACTTATCGGTGAAAGTGTTTATAAGAAAAGTTAGGAACCCTTGCACCCCTCTACTCAGTAGTTTCCTAACCTAAATACCTCAAATCAATGCAGATGAGGCTAAACTACCCCTTACATCTAGTCTTAAAATCGCCTCCCCCGGTATACGAAATTCTACCACGTTTTTCTTACAGTTAAGTTGGGTATCATACTTAGCTAACCAATCCATTCCCAATATAACGTCGTACCCCTTAATAGCTAGGCTTATAAGGTTTTCCAATAGCTTCCTCTCTCCTACCCAAATTTCACAATTAGCATACATCATACTAGTGATCATACATTGGTCCCCCGTAGGAATACTAACTTCCAAGTCATAAGGCAAGCTAACAGATTTTATATCAATTTCGCACATAAAATCGGGGTTAACAAAGGAATGGGTAGCACCGGGGTCTATCAAAATTCTTACTAGACGATGGAAGACAAGGATCGTACCTTCTACGACTCCAGATGAGTCAGGGACTTGATATTGCTCAAGGGAGTATACCCGAGCTAGCACCTTTTGTCTCGTCCCTTCCACCTTGGATTGCCCAGGGTTGACCTTTGACGACTGCAGAGTCCCTCTCGCTTCTCGCGGTAAAACCGGACAGTTGGCAATTTGATGCTCCGCACTCCCACAGCATAAGCATTTTCTTTCATTCCTCCAACAGTTGTCTTCCGTGTGATTTGGTTTCCCACAATATCCACAAGGGCCATGGGAAATGGGGCCCGAGCCTCCTTGCGAGGCACTCCTCTGTTGGCCTCGTCCAACCTGACCACCCCTTGGCGAGGTTCCTCTTGCCATCTCCGGAAGTCTCACTCCTCCGATTCCCCTTCCAGACTTGGGAGGGTTACCTTTATCACCTTGCTCTGAATTACTTCCAGGGAATCCTCTTTTCTTCACTTGAAAATTTCTAACTTTGAATCTCACATTTTCAATTCGTAATGCTTTTTCCACTGCCTCACTAAATGTATTAATCTAGGCTACCGCCAGATCCTTCTGAATTTTCATATTTAGCCCCTGAATAAATCACCGCACCTTCCTTTGCTCAGTTACAATAAGTTCAGGGATGAACTTAAACAGTCTAGTAAATTGGCTCTCACACTCGGCCACGGTTTGAGTTCCCTGGCGGAGCCTAATGAACTCGTCCTCTTTCTTTTCCTGAACTAAGGGCAAAAAATATTTAGCGTTAAACTCCCTCATGAAGTTTATCCATGTCCTTGACATTTGCTCTCTTTCCTGCTTTGTTCGAATAACGTTCCACCAAGAACGGGCGGTCCCCTCTAATTGGAAGACAGCAAAAGTAACCTGTCTCTCCTCCGTATAGTGTAAAGCCGCAAATATGTCTATCATCTTCTCCAACCACCTTTCGGCCATATCTGGATCTGGTCCTTCCAGGAATTTTAGTGGAGAGAACTTTTGGAATCTTTTGAGGGCTCTGTCCTCACCCTCTACATGATTGCCAGGGTTTCCAGGTTGATGCACAGGATTTTGGCCCTGGTGTTCCACTACGTGGGCCAACAGATCAGTCATTCACTGAATAGCAGTGGCTACTTGAGCGTTAGGGTCGATTCTAGATTCAGGGTTTGGTTCAGGCGTGGGTTCCCGATTACCCTCTGCAGTCGAGGGTTGCCTAATTCCGCGACCGCAACCTCGTCCACTACGAGTACCCTCTATTGGTATAACCAATCTAGGGTCGGAACACAAATACGGTATCAAAACAATATATAAACGTGAACAAATAAACAATAACAAAAATAGACACCAGATAACAGCATTTATACATATAACACATAGATGTATCAAACAAGTCATACAGTAGCACCAGTCAAATATATACAAAAGTAATCCCATGAAAGTAGTGGGGTCAACCAAAAGTACAATGTACAACCTAGGTCCCAAAAGTGCAAAACAGCTAACTAAGAGCTTTCCTTAGGTACCCCTCACACGGGATCAAAACATGGCCCAAGGAACTCTAACCTAGTTCTCAACTGAGCCAACCGACTCCTCCCCAGAGCTAGAGCTAGGGGCGTCTCCCTCTCTTGGAGCTCCATTTGCCCGGAACTCCCACGTGCACATTAGAGCCAATCACTCCTTGAATTAGAGTTTCACACTCGTTTATAATACCTCCGGACTAGTCTCTAACCTCCCGAACCACCCTAGTGAGACGGTCGTTGGCTACGTGTAACTGGTCTCTAAGAGCATTCGTCCGCTTTTGCTCCATGGCTATGTCCCCCTGTAGCTCCCGAATTCGATCCGCTTGCATCCTCATGATGCCTCTCACGCGCTGCATCTCAGTGTGATCTCTGGCGGCTGCACGCCTGAGCCTCCTCCACTCATCTAATACCGCCACGACCACATGGTCAATGGAGTAATTCTGGCAACGGCTACAGCGCCTAGTCCGACTGGCCGTACTACAGCGTCGAATCGGTCCTCCGGACCTCTCCTCGTAA